CAGCCAGGTTCTGTCTAGGTTCTCCAGCCAGGTTCTGTAGCCATGTTCCCTCACTAGGTTCTCCAGCCAGGTTCTGTAGCCAGGTTCTGTCCAGGATCTTTTGCCATGTTCTTTCCAGCGAAATTCTTCTGTCTCTAGGTTCTGTGTAGGTTCTGTCTTCTAAGTTCTGTCTCTTCTAAGTTCTGTCTTCTAAGTTCTGTCTCTCGAATCTTCATCTGAGTTCTGTGTGTAGGTTCTAAGTTCTGTCTGTATTATATGGATTTAGATTAAACTGTACTCAGCAATAAGATTATTAGACAATTAGAGTGCAAATACATGTTTCCAGATGTGAGACATAGAGAGAAACAAATGAACAGAACACATATAACAAACAAAAAAACAGGACAACAGGTACATCCCTGTTGAATAGAGAAGACTAAATGCTAAATAAAAAAATGTTTTATCTCTATAATATCTGATCCCTATTCTGATTATTTAGTATCTATATGTTGAACTTGCCACCAAAGAGAGACCCCATCATCACGCTGGAAACCAGACCACAGCCTTGAAGCATGCCAAAGACGTGAAGGACCTGGTCAGCGAGGTGAGCTGGGAATTTGGCACTAAGGCACTGGGCTAGAGAAAAAACATGCTCGCTAAATCCTTCACCTGCTGCCTCTGATAGGAGAGCTCATGTCTAAAAATGGTGCTCAGCAGCACCAAGAACAGGAGGCGGAGCCATTCTCCTAATGAGCGTAATACACTGTGTCCCTGGGGTGGATCTGTGACATGGCTGCGGATGGTGAGGGATGAAAACACTTGAACTTAACTTTGTCTCTCTCTTCTGTCTCTATTTCTTAGAACAAGTACAAGATTCAGTATGAAAAGATGAAGGACAAGTACACCCCAATCCCAGACACACCAGTCCTCATCAGAGCCAAGAAGGCCTACTGGAACGCCAGTGATGTATGCATCCCTTCCTTCTTCCTTCTGCTGTGGTAGGGACAGCGGGGGGTTGAGGTACCTAAGAAACAGAAAAGATTAGTCATATCCATAGTTCAAGGTTCTGACCCACACATGGAGCAGGAAAAAAAGAAAACCACATCCAAAAACTTTAAAAAAAAAAAAAAGTAGACACAAACAATACCAGTTAGGCAAAGTAGTAGCTAGGAGTAATGCCAAAAGCCTATGACTCTTCTCATTGCTCTTCTAGGAAGAAGATGGCCCCTTCTTGTGAGTTTTTGATAGCATTTCCTAGGGAATACTTGACAACTAATTACTTGCCTATAAAGGCATGTTCTTGGAGTCAGCCGAACATGCTTTCAAATCCTGATACTGTCATTTGCCTGCTGATTGCCTCTGTATACCTTACCTGTTTTTTTTTTCTGAGACTGTTTTCTGACGTGGGGAATGAGGATAAGAATTGTGATCATTAAATTAGACTACACCTAGTTTCCCCTGTTTTTAACACCTTACATTACCTTCATACATTTGTCACCACCAATGAGTCCATATTGATACATTATTCACTAAACTCTATGCTTTATTCAGATTTTATTAGGTTCCTCCTCGTGTCCTTTTTCTTTCCAGGATGTGAGATCAGTTTTTAAATCTCTCCTAAATTTATTCATGGGAAAACCTGAGAGAAACCTCAAGTTTAAAAGCCTTCAATTATTTAACTCGGTAGTTTTCCATAACCCATGTGTGTTTTCTCCTTCCAGCTACGCTACAAAGAAACATTTGAAAAGACCAAAGGGAAATACCACACCGTGAAGGATGCTCTGGACATTGTGTACCATCGCCGAGTCACAGATGACATCAGTAAAGTACGTCCCTCCATATATCTACTTGCATGAGGCTCAATGAGCCACCATCAGTTTTAAAAAGAGTCCTCCCTTGCCCTAGCCGGTTTGCCTCAGTGGATAAAGCATCAGCCTGTAGACTGAAGGGTCCTGGGTTCAATTCTGGTCAAGGGCACATACCTCGGTTGCAGGCTCCTCCCCCGCCTAGGCCTTCGTTGGGGATCATGCAGGAGGCAACCAATCAATGTGCTTCTCTCACATCGATATTTCTCTTTCTCTCTCTCTTCCACTCTCTCTAAAAATCAATGGGAAAATATCCCTGGGTGAGGATTAAAAAACAAACAAACAAAAAAGTATCCTCCCTTCCCTAATACTTTCTGGAAATAAGTAGACTTTTTTGCATTAATTTTGGATCAGAGGTTACACCTGACTTTGTGTTTCTCCCACAGGTGAAATACAAGGAGAACTACATGAGCCAGCTGGGAATCTGGAGGTCCATTCCTGATAGCCCAGAGCAATTCCACCACCAGGCAGTCAGGGATGCAGTCAGTGATGTGAGTCTTCAAGTCTTCCATTTTCACGTATAAATTCATATGTCCATGTGACTTAGGGAATCAAACACTGCACTAAAACTGATTAAACGCGTGACTCAATGTTGGTTCTCATGCATGGATGTTTAAATCATAAAACTCGTTGATAAATGAGTGAGCTTCAACTTGGGAGAGAAAAAATATATTCCAATTTATAAACCTAATTTTTCTTCCAAATGTATTATATCATATTACATGGCTGGAAGTGATATACTTCATCTAAGCAATAACCTACTTTTGGTCAATTGAAGAGACAAGTTCATGAAGCAATCAAGACAGGTGACGATGTTCACTTAGAAAGAAATGTCAGTTTTTTATAGGAAAATACATCTCCCAAGTTCACGATGTAATCTCTAGGAAAGTACACCTGTCACATTTGAATTGTTTTAATTAGTACTAAAAATAAAAATTTCCACATTTAATTCACCATAAAGTAAGCAGAAAAAAGCATTATTGGAAACTTCTCTTAAATAGTTGTTTTGATACGTTATTGTCCTATATGTCTCAGTGGTCAGAACTTTCATTTGTTCCACTTGTATCGATCCTAACCTACTGCTATTTGGAGATAGGTTCTTAAAACTCTTTGGTGACATTCTTCTCCCAGGTAAAATACAAAGAAGATTTGACCTGGCTTAAAGGAATTGGTTGCTATGCCTATGATACCCCCGACTTCACTCTGGCTGAGCAGAACAAGACTCTCTACAGCAAGGTAGATCTCCTCAAGGAGAGTGTCCACATCCGTTTAACGTGTTTCAGTGCTCACAGAGAGAATTAGCACTGAGTATTTAGCTTTTTCATATTTCCTTCCTGATCTTCACTTTTAGTCCCTGTAGTTGGAGTACATACTGAACTGACCACCGTCTGATGGACTCCGCTACAATGGCATATCTCAAATTTTTTTAGTACTGACCTCATTGACTATAGTCATCATTTAGTTATATCATTTATTTGACTTTGATAAGTGGTCATTTCAGACCAACTCATATCTCTGCCAGAATTCCCTCCCTATTAATATGTCTCTGGGTACCGTATTTGCCGGCGTATAAGACGACTGGGCGTATAAGACGACCCCCTAACATTTCCACTCAAAATACAGAGTTTGTTATATACTCACCGTATAAGACTACCCCCTCTTCCGCACACCTTCCACACACCAAGTAAAAGGTAAAACAATATCAGATTTGATTTTAACATTTTAATTTATATTCAAATGCTTATGACATGCAGGAAAACTGTCACAAGGCTGTATGTAATCAAACATATACATAAAACAGTGCAAGTTTATTACCGGTAAACATACCGGTAATTCACTAAAGAAAACACACTCTATAGACTGGTACCGTAGATGCTTCTCAGGAACACAGGCAAGCAGCCCACAACCTAGAGGGACTGTCAATGATAGAAGAAAGAT